AAAAACATTGTAGAACCATCAAAGCTTGGAGTCCTATACGGACCCCATAAATCACAGTGTATCATATCAAATTTATCAACAGATTGATAAAAACTTATAGGAAAACTCCCACGAGTCTGTTTAGCACGCAAACAAATGTCACAACAACTGTGACTACTCTTACTTGTTCCAACTTCAGGAACAAGAGACAAAACATGAGAGGAAGGATGTCCAAGTCGTTTGTGCCAAAGATCAAACTTACTCTCCTTTTTCGCACTGCACACCATCTTCTTTTCAGGCTCCTTAAAGTAATAAAGTCCTCCTTCCTGCTCACCCGTACCAATTTCTGTCTTCAAATTCAGATCCTGTAGTATACACTTATTGTTGGCAAAACGTGCCTCACAATTCGAATCCCTTGTCAATTGTGACACAGAGATTAAATGGCAACTCAAAGTGGGGACATATAAAACATCATGTAGATTTAATTTTTCTGTCAAATTAATCTTCCCCGATTGGATAGAAACAATTCTTTTCCCATTGGGCAAACCAATCTCACACGGTGATATTCCCACAACATCATACAATAACGAAATATCACCAGTCATATGATTTGATGCCCCAGTATCTATAATCTACCGCGGTGATACAGGAATACCTGAAAGCTTCAAACTAGAAACACACGATGATAGCGAGAAAAACATTTTCCTTGGTTGTTCATCGGCCATGGCGGTAGCAGAGTGGCGTACGACGTTGGCGGAAGAATCAACAGCAGCATCAATCAAACAATCTGCCGACGGGACGGTCGACGTGCTCGACCGTTCTAGAGCAACGGTCGACCGTTCCGTTATCCGGCAACAGCAACAACTGACTAAATCTGAGCAACGATCGATGGACGCCATGCCGGGCGATCGTGAACAGTAGTCGTAGAAAAATTTCTAGGGTTTTGGCTCCGATACCATGAAAGAATTATTTTGGAGGAAATTTTCTGAATTACTTTCTTGTCTCTACAATTTACAATAAGGACATATATATAGGATCTCACAAGTTGAGACTCCTAATCAGTAAAGGAAAAGGAAAGAATCTCTATACAAGGAAAACTACCAAAACAATATATACACAAATATCTCCCAATATTCTACCAAATGTTCTCTTTCCTTTAACAACTACCAAAAGTTTGTTTTAGAACAAACCAAAAAGATGTAAATTCTTTAGTATTCTTTTTATTTTCCCATGTAAATTCTTTAGTATCACTTTTTTTATAGAAAAAAAAAACTTTTCATAATGTGCACATACAATAATTTGAACCCGACCAAGCAGATTTGGTTTCTTATGAAATGCTGATATGCTTCCAAGTACAAAAAACTTTTCATTAAATCTTAATGAAGTATTGCTAAATTTCCCTTTTTCCATTTTCAAGTAATTAGGACTTTGACGGGGAGAAGTTTTTCTTTTTCTTGTTTTTTTTGGGTGGGTGGGGCACAAGAAGGGGCTTTGATTAGTTGGCAAACACTTTACATGTTTTTTTTTAAAAAAAAATTGAAACGTCATAAAACTTTTTTTTGTGTGACTAAAAACTTAGAACATCATCGTTTTTTGACCTTCCAATCATGTAGGACATCTATTATATTTCGTTAGTAAAATTGATTATTCTAACTCTATTTAAATTTCTTGCCACTTGCATCTCATCCTAGCCCTACCCCTTAGATCGCCAAATCTGTGATCTAGGGAGAGAGGGAAAGTGAGCTGTGTCGGGTGCATGTGGTATGGGGTTTTAGGAAGGAAATAGGATCTTAAAAACTATTAATTTTACCAATGAAGTCCCGCAGCTAGTCCAAAATGCCGAGGGTAATTTTTTTCTAGTCAAAAGAATTTTGCCAAACTTAGAATGGTGTCAATAGTTATAAGTGAAATTTGCAGTGAATAAGACTAAAACATAAGTCATTTCCCAATGTAGAACTTAAACTTTTTTATTCCCTAAATAAGACTTAATAATGACTAGTAAGAAGAATAATGTCCAAGTGATGCTGGACATTTAATTGAATAATGACTAATAGATAATAATCAATAGTCCTACATTGAGAAATAAAAACATATGGTCATATATTGAGAAAGTCATTATATTTTAATCCTATTTAGGTAAATTACCCTAGTTATAACTTATAAGTAACTTATTTTTAATAAGTTACACCATTTCTATTTTGAATGTATCAAATTGTGGGGTACCGGGTTCGCGGGAGACCGGGTCAAAGTTGGATGCATAAAATTGTAAAAATAATTTTGTGTACTCGATCCCAATATAAAACTTTAATTGGGCCTTACTTTCAGTCTTTATTTTAGTTTCTCCCTTTGTCCTATTTTTTTCTTTGCAGTTTGATTTGGTAGTCAATATTTTAAAATCTTGACCATCATTTTTAAAAAGATAATACAATAAATTGTGATATAAATTTAATCTCAATGCATTTATTTTGAGACATAATTTTGAAATATCATATTTTTATATTTGATAATTACACTCTATATAGATAGATATATTATTGGTCAACGCATTATATTGGAGACTGAAATACATTTATTACGAAACATAATTTTGAAATATCATATTTTTATATTTCATAATTACATTTTATATAGATAGATATATTATTGGTCAAAGTATTATATTCCATGTGAGATTATATACTTACCACTAAATTTTTTTTGTGACATAAAAAAAAAGCTTGTGGGGATAAAGAGAAATGGAGATGCAAGTTTTATGCTAGAGACAAAGAACGAGTTTGGAGTGCAAAGAGGTGAAGGGATATCATCAAGAAGAGGGGAAGATGATTTGCGGGAAGCCTCGCCGCAAAATGACATTTTTCCGGCAACTCCGCCGCCGCCGACTTCCAATGCAAGGAGGAGGAAAGGCATCCCTCACAGAGCTCCCTTCTTGTCTTAACTATGTTATTTTATTTCTTCAATCACTCGTGTACCTAAAAAAAATCTCTCAATTCTTTAAATTTAATTAAATCAAAGTTAAGTGATTATTATATTTATTATCTTACTACTTCCATGAAGTGCGAGGATATGTTGCCCAATAAATATTTACTCTTATGCCAATTGAAAAAAATTAAAGTATGAGTAAACATAAAAATATAACAAAATAGGAGTTGCACATTTTGTTTTCAAAATAAGAGTTAAATTATTTACAATGTCAATTATGCTTATGTACAATACTAAAAAGTGTCGTAAAATGTCTATATAAAACTTACATTATCACATTACAAACTTTTATTTTCGTGATGAAAATATGAAATTTCTATTTTGACATCTTCTCTATGTTTTGCTCTTAATTAAGGTGATTTTATAAGCAAATACCAAGATAAAAGTCTAATATTTTTATTTCTAAAGTAGGGGTATAATCACGGGTGGATTTAGGCATAGCTTATGGGGGGCACTTGCTCCCTAACAATTTTTTTTTTGAAATATATAGTGTAAAAAAATAAATAAAAAATTAGAAATTTAAATGAGGTTTCCTAATGAAAGATATAAATAATATAATGTGCCCCAATCAAAAGTATAAAAAATAGTCCAAAAGAAGAATTGACTGTTTAAATATTCTGTAGAATATAATGATTAAATATTAAAAGTATTGTATTTATATTAAGTTATGACATTTTTTATATTATATTTTTCTACTTGTAAAATATTTTGTTTTACTAATTTGAATACTTGTTTTATAAAAAAAATGATTTCTTTATTCGCCATTTTAAATTGCCTTTATAAAAAAATTGAGGGCGTTGCCTCCAAACCCCCATCCTACTATTTAGTACTACTACCTCCGTCTCATTTTAAATTGTATGTCTGTTTTTTTTTTTCGTCCCAAAATAAGTTGTCTATTAATTGTTTTCGTAAACTTTTAAGAGTAAAATAACTAAACTACCTCTATAATAAGTCACTTTTCTCCACCTTATCTGTTTAATCATCGTTATCCCTTCTAAAAAGTACTGACAATTTCGAAAAATCAACTCTATTTTTTCTTTTCCTTAAATATTCCCAAAAGTCAAAACATGCGATTTAAAATGGGACGGAGAGAGTATAAAATGGTGCCCGTCATGGCGTCATCATATAAATTTCTGGGATTTGTCACTAGTTGTAATATCAATAGTTTCAATATATAATACGGAGTATCAAAAAACAATGTGGGATATCAATATACATTACCACATTGTCATAATGCAAACTTTCTATAACTTTCTTAGAAAGTTCATCAAAACAGAAAGCTTAATTAGTGGAACACTGGAACTCCACTGATTTTTTCAACATTTTTTGTGATCCATAAATAAATTACTCCGTCTTAATTAGTACAAATGAAATATTTACACTAAATAGCACTAAAACTTAATTCATTTCCATAAATAGCACTTAAATTGTTTTATTCTTTAAATAGCACTTAATAATGTCCATAATGTCCAGTGATGACGAATATTTACTTGAATAATGACTAATGCATAATGACTAAAAGTGCTATATTGGGAAGAAAAACACATGTGGTGCTATTTAGGGAAAGTCATTATGTTTTAGTGCTATTTAAGTAAATTTCTCAAAAATTATTGCTGATTAACATAATTATTAGAGCACTGGAAATGTGCGTAACACCCAGGGCTTTATTGTCCCTTTTAACGTCAAAGGGGCAGCAAACACCGCCCCCTTGGGGCTTCATACGGGCTTCATTCCTTCTACTTCAAAACTTCAACGGGCTTCAAATCTCCCCCACTCTCTCTTTAAAAAAAATATACACAAACATAATTTTTTTACTCTATATTTTGTTGTTTAATGTAATATTTTTTTGATGTAATATTTTTTTTTGTTTAAATTTTTTTAGTAATGTAATTTTTTTGTTTTTCTATTAAATTTAACATACTTTTTTTATTGACTTTATTTTTTATTTAATGAATTATTTCAGTTTGCAATATATTACTACAACTCGGATTTGAATGAAGATATTTTTAGTCGCTCGAATAATTAGTAATTTCTTTGTAGTGTTGTTTTTTTATGGATGTAATATTTTTTTTAATGAATGTATTCTTTTATTAATGTAATATTTTTTTAATGAATGCAATTTTTTTAATGCACTAGTCTCCTTTTGACTAATTTAAATAATAAATTAATTAAAATTTAATAATTTAAATTTTGAAAATGTATATTTAAAAATGTAAAAAATGAAGGTTTGAAACCCCTGTTTGAAGCCTCGGAGCTTCAAACACATTTCCACTGAATCTGTGAGGTAAGTTAAAGCTGATATGGCAGAGATAGAAATTTTGAAGCCCCGGTTTGAAGCTCTGGGGCTTCACGAGTATTTCCCGTTCTCTTACGGTTAAGAATGAAATGGGAAAAGTAAATGTAGCCCCCGCCCCATTCATTTTGTGAATAGTATGTGAAGAGAAAAAGTCAAAGTCATGGCCCTATGATCCGTCCTATTCCACCAATACAAGTCTTTGGTCTCTTCAACTTTTCCGAAGACTTTTGAACTTACCGAGTACGGAGTATATAACTCCCTCCCTCGATTATGGTCATAGTTACAGTTCTTGATAAATTTCTTTTGTTCGCATATTTTCTTTATTATTTGATAAAATAAAATATATATTTTAATCATTATATATTTTTTATTTTGGTACTAAAGTGTAAGTAAAATAGTTTTAGAAAAGAAAAAATTTTGCACGTAAGAGATTAGCAAAAGGACAACTCGATCGATCCCTACAAAAGAGTGGTACAAGTACTATTTAGGACGGAGATCAGTCTGGTCTTTTTTTATAATCGGTACACATTAGTCTGGTCTTCATAAAAAATTAGGGACCTTTTGGGACCAGGTAGTCTGGTTAGGACCGGTCTATGTCCTATTTGGACCTTATTTTTAATGAATTTTTTAATTTTTTTTCTATAAAAAAAATCTTACTTTTGGTTATTTAATTTCTTTTATTTCTATACTTTGTTGCCTTATACTACGTAATAACTACTCCGTATTTATGCAACATGGATATGCATGAATATTTTTTTCTTAAGTAGATTTTAAATAATATAATCAATAAAAATTAGTTTTTAATGTGTATGTTTTTTACATTTGAGATTTTCTACTTTGTTGCCAGTTATTTATAAATTTATAAAAAAAATAAAATAAAATACTATGATATGCCTTATATTGAAAGAAATCACTCTAAATACGAGTAAAACATACCTTTTGTCTCCAAAATAGAAGTTTTATGTTTTTAAATTTTACACTGTGAAAATTGTCATTTCACAAGGTTTTTGGTATTATATGTTGTTATTATTGCTATTGTAACACTTATTTTTGGATAAAAAATATAAAAATTTTGTTTAGATACTTTCTTAATGTTTTACTCATATTTTTAGATTTTCTCCAATATAATAATGATAGGATAAACATATTTATATAAAAAATAAATTTTAGAGTATTAATATATACGGATCAAAGTATGTATAAAACGTAACTTATATTTCAAATATATAAAATTATTAATCTCTAGTCATAGTTCCACCCTGATCTAGTCTTTCAGAAAAGATCACCCAATCCAAAACCAGTCCAGTGTTATATAAAAAATCAAAGACCAAATTAGATTACTCGTCTTTCTCCCACTCCCACACAATTCCAATCTATCATGATCTTTTTTAGTAACAATTTTTGTTCCACTCAGTTGTTATTTATCATGTAAATTTAGTACTCCTAATAATTTTGTATGGACCCACTCCTCGAAGATGGTCACTCCTCGTTAAGCCTTCCGTCACGGAAGAAGAAGTGTCGTCTTTGTTCCTCTTCTTCTTCTTCCGTTACTGACGGCGGCATATCAATAACGAAGGAAAGATCCATAGATAACGACCTCTTCATTCTCCTCGGCGACGATCTCCTCTCCGCCGGCAGCATCACCAGCGACGCGCAGTGGCGGATCAACCCACCACAGGAATGCATTTCAACCGCCGCCAACGACGAAGACGACGATGAAGAAGAATCCTCCACTGCCGTTGCTTGGCCGTCGCCATCTAGGTTGCACTGGGACGGGTGCGGGTACATATACGGGGACGGGGACGGATTCGGGAATCGGCATTTTTAAAAATTTAAGGATGCGGGGACGGCAAGGATTCGACAACATAATATAATTAAAATATTAAATATAGGCATGTAAATGTAGGCATCTAAAAAACAGTAATAAGAAAAGGAATAAACAATGGTCCAAAAACAGTAATACAATACGAAGTACTCCGTACTAAATAAGGGTCCAAACTAGATTAATACGGAGTAAAATAATCTTTAAAAAAAAGAAAGGAGAATTAAAGTTCTACCGCTCTGGTCTGTCCTCAGATCCGTAAAAAAAAAAGCAGCAAAGTAGTGCTCTACTGCTCTGGTCTCTCTGGTTCCGTAAAAAAAGGGGGAAATTAAAGTTGGGTAGAAAAGAAAAGGAATTAAATTACCTTGTCGCCGGAAAAAGCAAAGGAATTAACCGGAATTAAAGCTCTGGATCCCTCCCCGTCGGCGGTAGATGCAATCGGCGGTAGAAGTCTCTGCTCTGAATTGGTTCGTTTGGAATGAAGCGGCGGATCCACAAGTCTCTCAATTATAGGCTTAATTAAATTACTTTCCAAATCCTAATCCTAATTGGTCAAATATTTTAAAAAAAAGTATCAGATTCGTACCAAATTCCTACCCGATTCGTCCAGATTCGTACCCAATTCCTACCCGACGAATCCAAACCTGTAGATCCGATTCCGGTACGCCCATGGCCGAACCCGCTGGCGAATCCGTCCCCGCGTCGCTTCCGGAGCGGGAGGCGGCACCAAACTGCCGAACCCGTGCAACCTAGGTCGCCATTAATATCGCCTCCTACCACGACGCCGTTTTGCATCTCGGCCCCGCATGTAGTCTCGGGCCCTACCCGAGAGCGACAGACGGGGCAGGTGGAGTGCGCCGCGAACCACCTGTCGATGCACGACACGTGGAACGCGTGGCGGCAAGCAGGCAGGAGGCGGACCATGTC